GAATGGTAGAAAATGTAACCCCTCTAGGGGGAACTGGTACCGGAGCCAGAGCCATGTGATGAGGTGAGTCCAACTACATCTAGCTGGAACCACTCAACCTCACACATCCACTCCAGCTCTTCCCCACCAGAGAGGTAACATTCAACGTACCGAGAGCTAGGTTTTGTAGCCGAGGATCAGACCGCCAAGGACCCTGCCTTCAGCTGCCCCCCAACACACAATTCACCCGATCCCTTTGGCCCCTCCCACGAGTGGTGAGCCCATAGAAAGGGGGACCCACATCTCCTCTTCGGGTTGTACCCGGCTGGGCTCCATGGGTTAACGCAGCCACCAAGGTGCTCGCCAACGTGCTTCCGAAGCAAGGCCTGGAGAATAACAAAGTAAAACAACAAAACTGTTGATAGCTCTTGTAGAAAAACAAAACAACTATCCATCCATCCATTTTCTTCCACCTCTCTAAGGTTGATTTAAGGGTGAGTAGCTCCATGATTGAAACCCTGACCGCTTCCTCCCAAAGACACTCTCCAGCCCATTTTAGAGAATTCCAGGGCATTCTCTTGCCAGATAGAGTATATTTTCCTTCCAGAGACTTGTGGGTCTGTCCCAGGTTCTCCCTGTGTGACATGCCTGGAAAACCTCTGGTATGACCCATTGAGAGGAGACTACGATTAGGGTGTGAAAAGTGGCAGTGCTAGTGTGAAAGCCCTGCTAGGATACATCCTTATCAGAGACACTTCGGTTGGCTCCCTTCTGTGAGGAGCAACAGTTCTCTCTGGATCAACGGTGCACAATACGTTGGATTGCCCAAAGAGCTAGAAGCACCCCATCTCGTCGCAAGTAAACCTTCAGTCTGAGAGCCATGGTCTCTGTTGGAAACATCTGGAATGAGAAGATGTGTAATAGCAGAATGAGCTTTAACTTTCAGAGCTTTAGACATAAAATGTTTAATTCAGTCCTGGATTTAACGTGGAGCTGATGAAGTGATGCTGAACCCGGAGACTCTGATCTCATCAGAACTCTGGCTACAGCGTTCAGGATCAGCTGGACCCTCTAAGAGAACCTTTAGATCATCATGGTCTTGTAGAAATACAAAATTCAAATCTGAAAGTAATCATGGACTAGTTTGTCTGCATCGCTTTGGATCAGGATGGTTCTGATTTTAGCAACATTTCACAGAGCGAAGAAGGCAGTCCTGGTAACATTTTTGTATGAGAAATAAGAGGACAGAACCTGGTTCAGAAGCTGGGACGTAATTTTGGGGGGGGACGGGTGGGACATGTCCCCCCCACTTTTTCAAAAGGCAGTTTCGGTCCCCTTCACTTTTTTCCGTCCAAAAACAATATTACGCTCCATTAAATGGATTTGATTGAGCACTAGGACCGAAACGGAAACCGGTTTCCTATTAGACCCACCCAAAAGCTAATCTATTGGCTCTGCTGATACTTGCTAACGTATTATTGGCTGTTGCTGCTGTCACTCAAGTTGTAAACAGAACGTGCTCACGTTGTTTTGCTAGTTTGGAGCCGCTAGGGAACACCGGTACTGAGTCACATCGTCAACTAGACGCTGTGTAATATCAGAGCTCAGCTCAGCTTCCATTACATAACATTTGAATAAGTGTTCATTTGTGAGTCTTTGGTAGTTAGGCACAGCCAGGCGGCAGCATGTCAAGAAACGAAAAGTGGATATAAGAGACTTCTTTCAAAGTCAAAACGTAAGTTGGAACATGTGACACCCCTGCATTAAGCTCAGACTCACCTCCTCCTTCACACACATACTCAAAACTAACTTTTACAAACTCATCTCCTCCACATAACTGACTCCTCCGACACAATTTATTCGTATTATTATAATTATTATTATTATTATTATTATTACTATTATCATCATGATTATTATTACTAGTAGTAGTAGTAGTAGAAGTGTAACTTCAAAACTTTTATCATTTAACTTTATTGTAAACTTATCTATTGCAATGTATATGTTCACATTAAAAAGCTCTGAAAAATGAACAGTATCATCATCGTCAACAGTTTTTTTAAGCTTAATGTCAAAGATGTACACTTTTCATTAGATTTATCTTATTTTTTCCATTTATTTTTTGTGTGTTGAAATGCAACAACTGTTTAAACACTTTTAAGGGAAAAAACATATTTAATATGTTTTTATACACTCAAATTGGTAATGAATAATTTACACATTATATTAATAATTGTGAATCATACTAGAACCATCCTGTAAATATTTCTGTTTGTTCCATTCCAAAATCTCCCACTGTTTATAGTTCATGCATCTTTTTTTCAGGTGAGTGACAGAGATGCAGGAGGAGAGACCGGTGAAGGTACAGCAGGAGAGGCTGTAGGAGATGGAGGACGAGAGCCTGGAGGAGATGGAGCAGAGGCTGGAGGCTCACAGGTGAGGTTGAAATAATGAAGATACGATAGACATAAAATTGATCATTGTGACAAATGTTAGGGTGATGATCATGTGTAAAACATTAGTTCAGCATGTCCTCTAACACAGCAAATGAAATAATGGCCAGATCTCAGGAGGGACCGTTTATGTATAAATAATTTTTATACTTTTGACTAGGCCTGGGAAAGTAACAAATTTTGCTGGACGATATTTTGTCCAACAAATTGTTGATGATAAACGATATCATTGTCAACATTATCTAGACCAAAATAACCACTAATATAATGTTAATATATCATAATAATGCAAGTACACCCTTTAAAATGCAACAAATAAACCTTCATTTAACATTGAAATGTCCAGAACCAGAACTTCTAAATGAATAAAAATAACAAACAAAAATTAAATAAAAAAAAGAATCTCACTCCCTGTTAGAAAATGTTGCACCAAAAACAATAAAAAAAGACCCAAAACAATAAATACAATGGCCTATCCATTGTCAACAGCCAAAACTGCACTTCAATAATGATAATAAATATTAATGATAATAGAGTTGTACATTTTTTAACTTTGATATATATATATATATATATATATATATATATATATATATATATATATATATATATTGAGGATGGAAAAATTATTGAGATGGGCATGTGACGTGTCAAAGGGTCTTTACATAACACCCCCACCCCAAATCCGCACAAGCCTGCTGTGTCCCCCCCACTTCTGAAATCAAAATTTCGTCCCTGTTCAGAAGAATATGTTTCCTTCATTAAAACTGGAGATCCAGCTAATGGCTTCCAAAGGAGGGGAATGAACACAATTTGTTCTTAAGGAGCTCATGGCTTTGATGTTCACTTGCATCATGACCTGTCATCTACAGAAATACTCAGATGACTCTGCAGTTGTCGGGTGTATCAGGGATGGACAGGAAACTGAGTACAGAGAGCTGGTGGAGCACTTTGTGGCATGGTGTGGAAACAATCATCTGACCTTGAACATGAACAAAACAAAGGAGATGATTTTAGACTTCAGAAGAAACAGGGTGGAGTCAAACACTTTTTCCATCATGGGAGAAGAAGTAGAGGTGGTTAAGGAACACAAATACCTTGGAGTTCACCTGGACAACAGACTGGACTGGAGAAAGAACAGTGAAGCTGTTTACAAGAAGGGACACAGCAGACTGCACTTCTTGAGGACGCTTAGGCCCTTCAATGTCTGTAGCAAGATGCTGCACATCTTCTACAAGTCTGTTGTTGAGAGTGTAATCTCTTCAGCCATCATCTGTCGGGGTAGTAGCATCAGAAGCAGGGACCTGAAAAGGCTCAACAGCCTACTAAAAAAGGCTGGTTCTGTTCTGGGGACGACTGTGGAACCACTGGAGGAGATAATGCAAAGAAGGATTCTCCAGAGAATCAAGAAAATTATGGACAACCCTGAGCATTCTCTTCACAAGACTGTCCGACAACAGAAGAGTGTCTTCAGTCAGAGGCTTCTTCAGTTTCGCTGCAACACTGACCACTACTGGAGATCCTTCCTGCCAACAGCCATTGTAATATACAATAACTCTTTGATGACTTGATTATTATTATTATTCTGAGCTACTACAGCAATCAATTTCCCTCTGGGATTAATAAAGTATTTTTGAATTTGAATTGAATTTGAATGATAAGCGAGTCAATGAACAGTGCATTTTCTGTAAAGCACTTAGAGTTCCTGAAATTTTCAATAGAAGTCTAATTCATGTTTATTATAATTTAAGTATTTTATAAATCATTAATGAGCAGTTACAATAAATTCAAATAGCTATTGACCTGTTTGTTGCCAAACAGTTTATTATGAACACATTAATACTTGATCAACCCTTTACTAAGATGGCCTTGGTCTTTAATGGTTTCCCATAAATGTTTAGTGTAAATGTGAGCTGTAGGCTCTAATCAGTCAGATATATTAGTATTAGCGTAACTCTATACCCACTGGTTCAGTTTCTGGTTCAGGACCAGTTTATCTGGGTTTGTAAACTTGGATCCTAGTCTTTAAGGCCATCATTCTGGTTTTACGCCACCTCCCTGCATCCTCATTGGTTTGTTGTGTAACTCTCACCCTACTTACAGCACTTATTAAAAACTGAAAACAAAGTCCATGTTATACCCTGTTCTGTTCTACCTTTGCAGCTCTCACAGTTTTCACTGAGAAGAGATTTTCAGTTCTATTTAACTAGTAATCTGCATCTTTCACAGGTTTATTTCTATTATTAATCATCACATAAGCCTCAATTATCACCCTCACCTAAAACGCGTTTCTGACCCTGTCTGGTTGACAGCAGGTTGAATCTGCATGGTTCTTTATAGATATGATTTGTTGATCTACAAAGTTTGAAATAATTTCTTATATGAGGTTATTTTCTAATGTGAAACTGTCTCTAGTGTCTGTTTGACCATTCAGATCTTAAACAGAATTTAACAAAGAACAAATCAAACAAACCCCTAAAGTAAAGAGTTGGCTTTTATTTTGAAGCATAACCGGAAATAGGAATGATGTTGCCGCATGAGGTTTTTGACTCGAGCGGAGTCGCTCCTCCTGGATTTATTACTGCTGCCTGCCGCTGCGAAATGAACTAATATGCAAAGCAACATGGACCTGGACCGGTCCTTTCGGAACCAGATCCGCATCCGGGTAAACTGAAGGCTCCAGTCCGGTCCGGTCGGAAGACAACATGACAGCACCGGCGGCCGCGGAGCCGAACCAGGACAAGGCAATTAGAGCTTGAACGTTTATCCACGAAGCACGGGTCTGGTTCTCAGCCGCAGCTAGCCGGCAGCTAACGGCGCAATGTCCGCAGACGTTAGCGGAACCATCCGCTGCCGCATTAAGAACCTGCTGCGCTCCCCTTCCATCAAACTGAGGCGAAGCGGCACCGCGAGGCGCAAACACGATGTCAGCGGAAAGGTGCGTAATCACGCAGAAACAACGCACCTCCACGCAGACATACAGCAGGACATAACGGTGTCCCCCGAGTCCAGCTAGAAGACTGCTGACACAGAGCTAGTCAGGGCTATGCTGGTTTAATTGTGCTGCTGCTGCTGTGTGTGTGTGTATGTATATATATATATATATATATATATATATATATATATATATATATATATACATACATATATATATATATATACATATATATAGATATAGATATACACTCACACAGTATTGTGATAAAATCAGGTGTGAAGTATTTCATCACATTCATTTGGAAAATTACCATTATTTCATAAATCCAAATAACTGCACTAATTGATTGTTGTAACCTAATTATTTGAAGCTAAATATGACTAGATATCGCACGAGACTGCTCCGTGCAGATGTATGACCAAGTCACTGCTTTGCAAGTCACAAGTAAGTCACAAGTCTTTCCAGTCAAGTCTTGAGTGAAGTCCAAGTCGAGTCCAAAGTCAATTACGTGGAAGTGCAAGTCAAGTCCAAGTTCTTAACTTTGCATTTTCAAGTCATAATCAAGTCACCTGTCCAACAAGTGCTGCTGCATTTAGCAGAACAAGATCAAACCCAGAACCAAGAATGATTCATGATTGTTGTCCATGTCGTGCCACTTTTGTGTTAAATATCAAAAAGGCTTAAGTCATCATCAAGTCAACAGATGCAAGTCGATTCAAGTCACAAGTCAAGTCCTAAGTCTTCATAGATTTTATCAACTCAAGTCAGAAGCCAAAATAAGTAATGACTTGAGTCCAAGTCATGTGACTCGAGTCCACACCTCTGGCTCCTTGTGTGTGAGTGTGTTCTCACACACAGTCTCTGCTTATCCTTTCATCAGATGCACTTTGACAAAAATGAGTAGGATTAAAAGCTACTAGAAGTTTCCTCATGGACAGAAATGACACGGATGGCTCACGGAGGGTTCCCACTAAACCTTTTCATCTTTGCATCTATTTTACCTTAAATGTGAAAGAAGTTTGTCCATCACTCAGCAGGATACAGGAGCAGCCAACTGGACTGGACGGGGATTGTTCTGACACAGTCCTGTCAGTCTGGCTCTTATCGGTCTTGTTCGCTCATCTGAGACTCACCGGGCCAGTTTTACTCGTCACGGCTCAAACACCTGTTCAAACATCCCTATTTGGGACTTGGTTTTCTGAGAGGAAAACAAGAACAAAAAGCTCCACGCTGATGAACAGCAATACACTTTTTCTGGTGATGCCTTTAAACAGACCCGTTCAGACGTTAGCCCTGAGAGACCCACCTGAGTGGGAGGATAACCGCTAATACACCCAAATAAATGTGTGTGTTTCTTCTCCATGGACAAATCTGAGAAGCACTGATTTACCAAAACTTGTTATGTGTCGATGTCCAGGTGAAATCTAGTTTAGAGCCCGTTTGATGCATCCCGACAGTGCGATGGAGCAGGTTACGTGCTTCAGACTCATCAAACCATCGATTAACTCATTTAGACACAAACTGTCCACAGAAATGTCTCAGGTTAGCCTGTGAGAACAGCATTAAGAAGCATCAACTGAAAGGAGCCGGTCTTTTGGGTTTGGGGTCTAAAGCTTCAAATAACTGCATTGAAATAAAATAAAATATGGTAAAAAAAAATACATATAGATTCATATAATTCTACATTAAAATCTGGTGTGCGGAATCCCACCTCATCAGTGTCAGTGCTCTTAGAATAAATAATCTCTCTGTACTGTAATCCAATCTAATGCTCACAAACAAATTATAATGGCTTAAATACAAGGCTATAGCAGGGGTGTGGTTAGGATGTGTAAACACCTGGGGTTAAGCTTCGCCCACAGGTATCAGAAACTGCTCTCATCTCCAGTCACAGGAGTTCATGTGTAGGTTGCTTTAGACTTGTTAAATGTCGCTACTTGTAGCACAACCGGTTCAGTCAGTAACACTACTGGTCTAAACATTTTAATGTTCCTAAATAGTGTAAAAGTTTAAAGTACATTAAGTTAGAGCTTTAACATCGATCTCGGTGGTTGTTGAGTTAGAAACTTGACCAGTTTCATATCTGATTCCACTCTGCAGCACTCTAATGGCCGGATACAGCAGTTAACAGTTTTTGGGAGTGGGCAGGTGCTCTAGGAGGTGCTGTTATACATGCATTACGGCTGCTGGCTAATTTCTGTTTCAGTTAGCTTGGTCAGTTTGCTGAATGTCAATAAAAAGCACAAAAAGAAAAAGAAGAAGTTTGCTTCTCTGTTGGCATCATGGCAGAGCCTGGAAGTAAAAGTAAGAGAGTATGCTAACTGTTGTAATGCATGTATAAGAGCACCCCCTAGAACACCTACCCCCTCAACAAAACTGTTTAAGAACAAATTGCAGGTATAATTTTATTTCTGTTTCATATAAAACACAGTCCAAAAAATACAGTTTGAAATGCTTATTGTGGGTATTTAGTTTTATAATACATAACAGCCCCTTATTTTGAGTAAAAAGTGGCTGATTTCAGCAAAGCTTCTAAAAACGCTAAGTTGACACCACTGCTAAGTCTCTCTCCTTTGGCCATCGTTTCTCCCCCTGGCTTGTCTCTGCTGTCTAGGGCGTGCAGCAGGCTCATAACTGTATGGTTGTGGTCCACCATAAGTATAATTATAATCATTAAAAGTTTCCTCTGTGTCCGAACCAGCATTAGAATCCATATACAGTATTCCTCTGGATCAAGCTAACAGGTCTCCCTTGGCCTGCGTCACTTCTGGTTTGACAAAAAAAAAAGAAAAAAATTTCTCACAAAAATTTCTTCCAAAGCCTAAATAATTTATGTGTGTATACTTTTTTATTTAGAACGAGTTCCTATTGTGTTTCTCTAAACATTTGTTCAAAGGAGGCTCAAACCTGCAATATGCTCTTTAAGTGCAGCATCTGACCGGTAGAGGTCTGCAGAGTGGTGTTAAATATGAGACTGGTCAAGTTTCTAACCCAATAATCACTGAGATCAATGTTATAGCTCTAGCTTAAAGTTTAAAAAATTTTTACATCTGAGGAGTCAGGAAGTTCCTCTCAGGTAGTTATCAATAACACACACACACACACACACACACGCACACACACACACACACACACACACACACACACACACACACACACGCACACACACACACGCGTTTGTTATAATTACGTACATAATAAGTTTTGTGATAGGCGACGTATTTCTCCTCAGGTCTTGAATACTTATGGTAAATGTTAGTCATCTCATCTGTTGATGCGTGGAACTGAACCAACTTTGGATCTTTTCTTTGTTGAAAACTTGTTTCTTAATTTATCACTAAACTAACAACAGAACAAGAGCAATCTGGGATCAGAACATAAATGAAGCTGCAGCAGTTTCAGACACACAATCAGTCTAACATTAAATGAGACATCTGAACCAATCCAGAAGGACTTTTTAGCTAACGCTAACCCTAAAAGCCTGTTCAGAGGTTTGTTCACACAACTGAACTGAAAGCAGGCTCAACGTGAAATGTACTTATGGGAGGACTTTCAGGTTTGGGCCGCTGACAAACACATACGGTGGTTTGTTTCAAGGCTGAACACATAACGGGTCAGGAAGGTTAGACAGGAAGTGTTTTTCCTTCAAATTATCTGAAAGATTCCTGAATGTGAATCAACAAGCTGATCTGGCTTTTCCCCTCTGTGACTGAGCTAAGTGGAAGTCAGCCAGTGAGTCACTGAGACCGGGTCCAAATATAAATAGTTGGATGTTTAAGGATCACAAGAGAATTAGTGCTGTTTGTTTCATGAAGAGTTTCATGAAACAAACACGACAGACTTCAGTTAGGTAAACATCTGGATGTGAAACACTGGTCTGATAACACGTGCATCAGGACACTGAATGAGAATAAAACAGGAAATGTTTAGGTTTAAGGAAGTCCCTGAGCAGTTCTCTGGTAACTCAGATGATTGATAAGGACCAAGACTCTTTGTCTCAGAGCCAAAACGCAGTCAGACTACAACTTATGGGCCATTCCCATCTGTACCGGGTCGGCCCGGGCCGGGTAGCCCCAGTCGGCCCCAGCCTGGCCCGGTTGATTCCACACATACTTGTCTTAAGCCCATGTGGGCTGATTCTACCCACCAATCAGAGGCTTGCTCTAATGGAAGGTGTGAATTTGCTGTCAGCAGTGGGTGTGTTGGCCCTGGTCGGCCTGAAGCAGACCCCCTCGAGAAGAGGGCCGAGAATGAGCCTTGGTTGGCCCGGAAAAATACCAGGCCACTCAGATACGTAAACAACCTACGCTACCCGGCCCGGGCCGACCCGGTACGGATGGGAATGGCCCATTAGAAGAAATTTATTCCAGAGAAATTCACATTCATTAATATCCACTCAGAATTAAAGTCCATAAAACCATCAATAACTCCTAAAGAGACATGTACCTTCTAGAATTGGTCTCTCCTGGGCAGAGAGAGGTCTCTTATGGTCCATTCCCATCTGTACCGGGTCTGTAGTGGTTCTAAACTCACTAGTCCTCAGCCTCCTCCTGGACTTTGAGGTTTCTTGTCTTGATTCCAGTGGCTTATATCTCATCCTTTGACCAGGTTTTATACCAGCTGGGGGTCTGATGACTAGCAGAACATATGTGTCGATGGACTGGACCTTCTTCTGACCATACAGCTGGGTCTTCAGAACATGCCTTATTGTTTAGAAGTACTTGGTTGTGGGCCTTTTTCCTTGTAGCTACATCATGGTTACAATTTGCCTGTGAGAGCACACAGGTCTTGTAAATGTCCTAAACATCTTGTTGCCTTTTTCCACTCTGAATTGCATTCTGGAGTGTTTGCTGGGTTTCCTGGTGAGGTGGGTCAGTGAATCCATTTTTTTTCCTACAGCTTGATATCATCCATGCAGAGGAGGTGTCTCGCCACTCTGTTGTTGCTGTCCGTAACCACCCTAAGCAATGAACTGGCCTAGAGCTTCAGGTTGATGCACAGCCTTGGTGGGCTGTGGCCACAGTTCCATTTGAGTTCTTGATGAAGGTTCCCAGAGTTCTGTCAATGTGGGACATTTCCAAGTCCTCCAGGATCTACTCATCAAGACAGAGTGATTATTATCAGATTTGTTGATGGTAATTTTCAGGCCTCCCTGAAAATGGAAGGGCTTCAAAGGCCAGATGTTTCTGTTAAATGTAGATCCAGAACCCCTCTGTGGAGGATCTGAGACCTCTGACTTTAGTTTGACACTGGAGAAAACCTGAGTGGTTGTTCAGAGACATATCCCATAATGACTTCCAGTCTTTTCCCTCCAGGTGACATTGGAGAAGGTGATGGGGATCACATCTTCAGGAAACCGAGCGCTGGCCTGTGACCCCCGAACTGGACTCCTGGCCTACCCTGCAGGGTGAGTGTCCCCTGCTCTGTGGGCTGACCTGCTGTGATGGTGGTTCAAGTATGAACCATTAGCAGTCAAACATCAGCTCAGAATCAAAAGCGCTAGAAGCGTCTGCTAACAAAAAACTTCTATTTAAAAGAGCTACATGAAGAAAACGTAGGATTTTTTTTTATTTATCACAATTACTGTGAAGTACTTATGTCTGGTTTTATCTCAGAAATAAAATTTCACCTCCATAATCCATCCATTTTCTGAACCCGCTTGTCCACGTAGGGTTGCGCGCGGGGGGGGGGGCTAGTGCCTATTCCAGCGGTCAATGGGCAATCAGGCGGGGTACACCCTGGACAGAGTGCCAGTCCATCTCAGGGCAACACAGAGACACCCAGGACAAACATTCATGCACACACACACACTCACACCTAAGGACAATTTGGACAGACCAATCAACCTAACCCCAAAATTCCACTACCTACGCTCCGCTCCGGCACGAACTCTGCAGCAAAAACGGTCCCGTTGTAGTCGATCAGAGCTGTTCCACTACTGCGGCCGTGCGGCGCAGTGCGCCGCCCTCCGTTCTGCCATCCGGCAAAAATAGGATCGATCCTATTTTTGCCGGACGCCGGAGCACCTCCGCAGTCAATGGACAGAAATCACAACCGCCCAACAGGAAAGGGAGCAATCACAACTTCTGTTATTTCACAATAAATCGATAAACAAAAAGCATTTTTTGTTTCATATGCACAGGTTTAACAACTTTTAACAACTATCAATGGCGGTTGAACTTTAAATGCACAAAAATAAGCCATAAATACAGTTTCCACTATCAAAGTAGTCACACTTTGTTGATCCAAACACTGCTGATGTCTCAACACAAATGATAGGCAGATTAAACAGTTCATTTCGATGCTTCTCCCACACAACGGGTGTTTGGATCTAACTTCCGTGTTTATTGCTCGGACTGTATCGCAAGATCTCGAAAATCCCGCGCATGCTTGTTTGCCCACCTCAGGTCTCCGCACCGGAGCGGAGCCATTGTAGAGCGGGTACCAGTAAAAATTGAGTTCGGAAGCGAGCGGCTGCGGAAGTCGGGGGCGGAGCGGAGCGGAGATGGTGGAATTTTGGGGTAACAGTCATGTTTTTGGATTGTGGGAGGAAGCCGGAGTACCCGGAGAGAACCTACACATGCACAGGGAGAACATGCAAACTCCATGCAGAAAGATCCCAGGCCGGGAAGCGAACCCAGGACCTTCTTGCTGCAAGGCAACAGCTCTAACCACTGTGCCACTGCGCAGCCCACCTCCATAATACTCTATGAAAATATTTCATTTAAATTTTGATCTCCAGTTTCTCTCATCTCAATGAGTTTCAGGAATTCCCTGGATTATTTAGACCACACAAAAAGGAATGTTCTATCATTTCCAGCAGCAACAGATTCTTATTGCAGATAGGAGTGATGTAAAGGAAAAAGCACTGGGCCGAGCCTCGGTCCCTGAGGTACTCTGGTTGGAAACATGCTAAAAACCCTGCATCAGAGTTTCTATGGTTCCTGTGAGAACCAGGTACAGTTGGTGTTCCACACAGTTGTCTTTTCTCGCTCTCTCTCTCTCTCTCTCTCTCTCTCTCTCTAGTAAATATTCAATCCTGAAGGTTAAGCTCAACCCCTAATGAACATGAATCGTAACCGTATCCCTCAGCAGCTGCTGGTTCTGGAGTGAACCTCAGAGTAGCTCCTGAAATGCAAGGAACACAACATTTTGTGTTTTATAAAGCATCTGACACAAAAAGAAAATGTGTAAAACGGCAGATTTTTGGGTTTCTGTTGAGAGAAACCAACATACTCAAACAGCTGATGAGGATTGTTGTGGTGAGAAATTAATAGAAACACATTACTCTGCAAACCAGAGTCCTGGTTCTGATTGTCTCAAGTCTGAGGCTTCTCCACCACCTCTCTGCTTCCTGAAAGTTTCTGATCCCTAAAAAATGATGGGAATGTCCGAAGGCGGCGATGGAAGCTGTCCAGCCATGCCAAACCGAGTCCACCAATCAGCTGCGGGTGCAGGAGGAACGGGAGCTTCTGATTGGTCGGTTTTTGATCAGATTCCACTTCATTTGTGAGGCAAAAACTTGAGTTTAATGAAGTAAACTCAAGCAAAGTGGGTCAGTGGGATGATGCGGGGGTGGGGTGAATGTGGGTCAACATGGAGGAAAATAGAGACATTCATTTAACACGCTGACTGGGAAGTGCGGACATGTGACTGCTAGTGTCTCGCTCTGCGTGATTTTATGCTAAAATGTCTTTAAATCTGAATAGTTTCATTCATTCTTGAGCTGATTCTGATTTGTGACTCAGCGTCTAAATGTTTTACTGTCTTGTCAGAGAAATGTTTGAGGGACTGAGACTTAAAAACACCACAGGGAAAAAGTCCTATTACTATATTGTTCATTAATGTTATTATCATTATCAGACATAGGTCTCATGCAAATGCAGTTGATGACTTAAAAGTACACAGTGAGTCCAAAAGAACCAGTCCAGCAGCTAAAGAAGAGAAACAGCAGGCGAAGCAGCAGCCCCCCCCCCCCCGCGCTGCATTGCAGATGTGCTGCAGGATTGTTGCCCATCTTACACGTGTGCTTGTGAACTGTAGAGAGGTTTTTTTCATCATGGATCAGATCCTGTGGTTTCAGCCTGATCTTTCTTTTATGTCATAAATATAATTAAAATGTTTATTTCCATATTTTCATTGAAGATCCAAAATCTCATATAAGCATCTTAAAACCCTGCAGGCACATCCAACCTCCTGCTGCCGTTTTTAATCTTTCCTTCTGAGCTCATTCTGCTGGTCGAAGCCCAGGCTAACAATCATCATTCTGTTTCTGAACAACGTGTAGCTAAGCCACAGTTCCGGAGAAACCAGTCAGCCATCCTCTGAAGGAGTTTCTGAGCTTTAATAATATCAGTCTGGACCAGTGTTGGGAGTGTTACTTTGAAAAAGTAATTAGTTACAGTTACTGATTACTTTGTCAGAAAGTAACTCAGTTACTTACTGAGTTACAAAATTATAAAAGTAACCAAGAAAAATAACTATTTTGTTACTTTTTTTCATTAAAGAATGCAAGAAAAATGGGTTCCCCTCTTAAACTTACTTTATTTACTATAAATTACTACAATACTGAAATATAAATGACCAATGACTGGAACATAATAAAATGTACATCCAAATGTTTTTTATAAAACTGAATAATTGAAATAAATGAGCACTTAACAGGAGGAACTACAAACAGGAACATTGCACTAATCTAGACTATTAAAATGTGACTGTGTGATATTTAACAAATAGAAACACTTGTAAAGGTTCCAGAGCCTTTAAATGGTCTCTCGGTCTAGGTAAATTACTGAAATTAATGTGATTTTACACAGTTTTCTAGTTTTTCCAGCTTCACATAATTGTGTGTTTTTAGTAGCATTTCTGTTGCTGGTAATCTAGTAACGGTTAAATAAATGAATAAAATCCTTTAAAATGACACTAGAAGAGGCACAAATCTGATGGAGAACTCACATTTACTAACTTGGGTCAGACCCAACCACAGAAGAGCTGAAGCTGGGTGGTAAACACACACAGGTAGTTCTAATAACACCTGAGCTCCATGACGTCTGAGACTGATGCATCAGTGTTACAGCGGGACTAAAGACATGATCAGAAACAGGTTACAGCTGGATGATGAAGAGTTGAGCGGACCTTCGGGACGTCCCGCTGTCACGTCAAGAAGGGCACGGCTGCAGATTCACGGCTGCAGCAGCGAATCTGCAGGTCTGCAGCAGCAGAGTATTCGTCACGTCTTCTTCATTCTTTACGGGCCGTGATGCACTTGGATGAAAACATCCGTGTCATGATCTTCAGTCATCCTGCATCTCTACATTGCTGTGCCCCACCTAACTATGCTCACATGTTGCTTGTCTACTCATGATTGTCTGTCTAATCATCTCCACCTGTGTCCTTCAGGATATAAGCTTCCTCCAGCCACTACTCTGTGCCAGATTATCTGAAGCTCTTGCAGACGAAATCCAGCCTTTACCAAGCCAAGCCCTTCTACTTTTTTGACCCTGTTTCTGCTCCCAGGACTCCTGCCCTTGCCTGCTAAACCTCACAGACCTGGATCTCCCGGCTATCGACCCCTGCCTCCTCTCTGATTCCTCTCTGCCTGCTGCTTGGTGCGCCTTCCTGATATCTGACCCCATGTACTCACCTGGACTGTACTCATGACCACGCCCCTGGGTTGCACCCCCCCCCCCCCCCCCCCCCATGGATTGCTAACCATCCGCTCTGTTTATGTTCCAGTGCTGCTCGTCTGGAAACTCTCAGCAGTCCAGCAAACAGTTCCTTGCTCAGCATCTGGGACAGAGCAATAAATCCTCACCAATAAAAAAAACTATTACTGCTTCATTCTGGTGTTGGCTGAATTCTTGGATCCGATTCTCTCCAGGTTCTGGTTCTGACAGTATAATCTGGCCAGACATGGACCCATCAGCTGCACAGGAATGGCGCTCCACAGTGGAAAAGTCTATCAACAGCCAAGATGCACGAATTGAAGTCTTTACTGCAGGGTCTGTCTAATCCTCCTCCGTTGGCAAAAGCCCCTGGACCTAAACACCAGATCTCCCCCTTGCATGAACCCAAGCTATCCCCGCCTGAAGTTTTTAAAGGTGAGCCCACCCAATGCCGTCCTTTGACGCAGTGTTCTATTCAGTTCGAGCTTCAGCCTTCCTCATTTCCCACCAAAAGAGCCAAGGTGGCATATGTCATTTCACTCCTCTCCGGCAAAGCTAAATTATGGGGCACCTCATAATGGCAAAGGGACTCTGACACTGTAACTCATACGAACAGTTCTCCAAGGAGTTGACCAGGGTTTTTGATCCTGTCCTTCCTGGGCGTGAGGCAGCAAGGGGTCTTTTGAAATTAAAACAAGGATGGAGACGAGTGGCAAAGTATATCGTTGATTTTCGTACATGT